ATGTACTCTAATGGGGATAGAGCATTCTTGTCTTTGTGATGCTTACATTGTATAAGATCACATTATTGTTTAGACTTGAATAAGAAATATTTGAGAAAAGAACTATCCTGGAAAAATCCTGACACTAGTAGTAAAACAAATGTGGACGTATATTAGACTTAGCGTACTCTATCCACTCTATCCATGACTGCAAATGACCATTTTTCTGGTCAAAATTATTTTCCACTCTCATTGAGAATATTGGTTATAATTCTTGATTTTAAGGATATTACCCAGTGTAAGAAATACCAAAAATTATTTTAAACATTAAAACCTAACTTTTTATATAATATGTGCAAAAAATGGCCTAATAGACAAACAATATTTGTGATGTTATAGTTAAATGGCGAGGAGAACCCAAAGATAGTAAGGCTTCTGAGTGAAGCTTTGCAAGGAGCACACACACATTTAAACAAAAATGTTTAAAATTTTGACCTAAATAGCTATAACATGCTTGTTTCTCCCTTTCCCTCTTCACTCTTTTTTTTTTTTATCCAGAAGATGCTAGCATGGAATAAATAATATGGTAAAGTGGCTTTGCTTTTTATGGTTTCATAAGGCTATTTCACAAAGATTAGTTCTGGAGGTCCCAGGTTTCCTGTTTTTATTATCTGCACTTCGCACGGTGGTTTAGACTAAATTGTCCATTGCAGAGTTTGGAAAGCAGTCTGTTTAATGCAGTAAATTGCACTGCTACTTCCATACCCATCTCTCACAGCCCACGCTCTGGGGCTGATCAGATACACATTCACTAACACAGAACAAATAAATGCTTTATTTCTCACCTGTTTTTGAAGTTACCTCTGGTTTAAGGTTTACTTACTTCAGTCATGTTTATTTGGCCTATTGAGTGGATATCAGGAAACAGGTAACCTGGGAAGAGAGATAACTATTGGAATGTAACTTCCCTTTCATCCAGAGGAGCCCCTTCACAGTGGGGACTGTCCTACTCCTGACCAGCGGTGCTGAGGGCTCAGTAATGAGCTCGGAATGTGAACCCGGAATAGGGAAAGCAAACATCTCTAGATGCAAATATGACCTGAAGTGAATCAGATTAAATCTCTGGTGAACTCTTGTAAACAGAATTTCACTTCTAGAGGACTGTCAGCATGCTCAGCAGAGTACAAAGTTATCTATTCCATGTGCACGGTAATTTAGCTAGTAAGCAGCAGGAGAAATGGTAATAGGTACACAGATTTGTAATAACTGGTAATGAGGTAGACACAGCAGGTAATGTCAGCATAGAATAACTTGGCAGAAGAGATGGGAAGGGCAGATTCAGACATTGTTGCGATGAGGCTAGGGTTTAATCTGGGGAGTGAAGGGCAAGCGGCGGCATCGGTGCTGTTGGCTCTGAGCACTGTGCAGACTAGCTTCACATCCAGTGCTGCAGCCTGTGGCCACTCATCTGTCTTCCCAGCAGACGACAACTGTCCCAGCCTCACGACTCCTCGAAACAACCACTGTTGCTGTTTTTCGTCTGTTTTCGTCACTTTGACATTATGTCAGTAATGTGTTCTGTCCATAAATGGCGGTGAATTTAGAAAACAAAACCGAAAGCAGCTCAGTAGCTGTCAGTGAATATCTTCATGTGTCCAGGCATTCAGGGACCCCAAAGATAGCGTTTGCATGTTGTGCTCACTGCAGACTTGGGCGGTTATAATCTTGGAGGCATTGTTATCCTCATTTTATGAGCAACAGTAAAAGATTACCTTTATGGTAGACAGGATTGTTAATTCCAGGAAGATTCATGCCCTACTACCATGACTCCTAATGTTTTTAATTCTACAAAGCCTTTCTGCCGTTTCCATTACCTTCTTGTTTTCCCTGACTGCTTCCTTATTGTGGTGTTTTACTGGGTCATGATAAGGTATCAGAGAACCAACATGTAGGAGCAAGTAAAGAGAATCCTAATGTTTTAATATTTTGAAGGAGGATGTGATCCATATGATTACATTTTGTTTGGGTTGGGTTTCTCAGATCTCCTTTGACCTGTAACCGATAAATTCTTCAGCAGTGTTTACAATTCTGCCCCTCTGCACCCAAATGGTTTTTGTGCGTGTGTGTGTGTGCGTACATGCGTGTGTGTGTACACACATGCCTGCACGCACACACGTGCATATGCATAAATATGTGCTTTGTTCTTGTACTGTATAATAGGTCTGTAGCATACAAGCTGTTAACTCATTTTATGGAAGTTCTGTGGAAATGCTAATGTATACTAGCAATTGTGATCAACACAGCTGTTAATCATCAATGTTTCGCGATCTCCAAAAAAGCCGAGAAACCTGAGAACAGTCGCTGATTCTAACAATTGACAACACGGCCATTGGTAGGAGTCTGACGTGATTGTTTGAGACACTTTTGAATCTTCTCCATTTATTCTTTTGCTATATATATCAATCATAGAATCTGAAATTATTAAAATTAGAAACAGGTACCTCTAATGGTAGGAAAACAACTCAAATCCCCAGGACACAAATAAGAGAGTGAAAACATGAGATAGAAAATGAGCTATTTATTCCATTCCCTGAGCAATATAATAGCAAACTGAAAGGGAAGGGTTATGCTTTCTGTAAACATTACCTGGGGATGAATAGTTTCATGGTTTACAGTTTTTTCAGATGCACATTTGTGCAACTAAGCATCCTTCCTTCTCCTTAGGCTCCATCTGCACTCAGGGACATATATGAACAGTGATTGGTGAGTGAAGGTGTGAGAAGGTGGCCATATATGCCTTTTCTCTAAGTGTACAGCACTTGGGGAAAACCATAAGAAATCTGTGCTTTTGTGGGATGTACTGTTAGGCAAACAAGGTAGAAGGAGAAGAAAATAGACTCACTGCTCCTTTATAGTGTTACAGGACAGAGATGGAGTGGATGGGGTATCCTGGATAATTAATAGAGATATATCAGCATCAGAAAATATATCCATGTTTCTGGGATTTGCTGTTTTCACCACAAGTTGGGAGGCCTTGAGTTCAAATTTTGATTCTCAGCTCTTGATGTCCTTAGTCAACTGTCCTAAATATATCTGAGAAGGCCCGTTAGTTTGTGTATGGAGAGGGTAAGCTGGTGGCAGGTAGAAAAATGGGCAAATATGAAGTTAGAATTGCATCATCGTAATAATACGCTTTAATTTGTTGGTATCTGTTTGATCAAAGTTCCCAATATAAAATATGCTTAAAATGCTGTTTTCTAGTATCCATATTAGTTTGTGTATATTATGTTATTTTTCAGTAGCCTCAGCTGATAATGTCTGGTT